GTCGACAATTCTACGTAACGTACAGTAATTGAATGAACCGCATCCGGAACTTTGACAAATTAAGGCACCGCTTAATAAAAAAACAAAAGTATTGTCATAAAAACAATGTACAAAATACGGAACCAGGCATACGGTTGATACGCATATAGAGTGACTTCGTTTGTTGTTTAGCTGAAGTGTTCCGACATGCTTGGGAGCCATCACAAAAAACTTACGTGATGCAGGTGAGTGACGTGCTCTCAGGATTTCAGGTTCATTGTGACTAACTACCCTCTTAGGCCAATAATATGACTTTTTTGATGTCAGTGAGAATTTTCGTAGACGTAGGGCCACTGTGAACTTGTCGCGTTCCCTTGGTTGTCACAGAACCACTTATAATAGGAGATGGAATAAAATGAGAGCTGCTTTAATGAAAAAATATGACTTCCTTTCGTTCAGTGAGTTTGCTAATGAAAGCACTCTGAAAGGTAACTGAGTTCAACAGTGTTGTTTATTAAATTGGTAGAAGTAAAGACGGAAATCAGTTGTAATGACAGTACTTCAACTGTAACACCATGCACTAGCAACGTCAACCAAAGACTTCCAGATATTAGTGGTATGTACATTAAATTCACACGCGAATATATATCTTATAGGATCTCCTGAAGTGGACTTGTGCTGTCATAAGTTCGTAAATCGCAAAGAACTGATAAACGACTAAAATTTAGGACTTTCGCTGACCCACGCAATTACTTTGAAGATCCTTTCCCATCTACTGATATTGGAATCTTTAGGTGCTCCGTAGTTAGCCATGAACACACCTGGATCTCGGTTAAGGACATAGATTGTAAATGTATGGCCATAAATTGTATGAATTATCTAGTTCCTATCCCATTGCTGCATACTTGGCTGTAAATGCATTTTGTCTCACTAGTGTTGAATAAATGATGAAAAACAATTTAATTACGTCTTATGTTATTTTCAGCCCGCTAACAAGAAGTACGTCATTGTTGACGTCCTCAGCAAAAAACAACTGATGATAGCATCCAAGGAGTGGATAGTAGGCAAGGAACTTTGCGCTTTTTGAACGAGCTGGTCGATATACACCTTCAGAAGTGCGACCAACCGAATGAAAATTGGTCACTTATGAAATGTAAAGTGATTCACGAATTAGGTAGGTTACATCCACAGAAAGTATAATTCACTATAGATTCTCTGCAGTCGGCAAAATATCTGTTAGTTGCCCTACAGATACTGGAATCTCAACGGATGAAAACACTTTGCCACTTAACACTGAGAAGCCAAAGAGGTCTATACAATAATCTTACTTACATTTCCTAGAGGTGTAATGAAGCGTAAAGAAGATTTTCTTTACAATTCAGTCGACATGGATGTGGCTGAGATGCAGGCTGGGAAGAGCCGCGTACAATATCCCAAATTCCGTGTTTTCGACAAATTCATATCGCCAATCGCCAAGTAGGTTTAATTACTATTTAGATATTCACGAATTAGTTCGACACAATTAGAGACATCACCATCCACATCGGAATGTGAGCATGTTGGTGGCACTATAGTGGACCAGTAAGTAACCTGCATCATCTAGTGACCTTTTTCCAGTTGTGATAGGTTGTATACACTGGCGCTGAACATGTCGTCAGCTATCAATGACTTGACTAAAACGATTAACAACATATCGTCCGCCATTATTGACTTGAATGTTAATGTAAACCAATTGCTATTTAAGTGTAATGAACGCGAAAAACCGCATCAATTCGATTGCGGACTGTCGAGTCAGCAGTTCCCTTTGTCATCTAAAGAGGAACTACAGATGCTGGATACTGGCAATGGTCACTAGGTTATCAAGTGACGATCCAAAGACGTCGATGTGGTTTGTTCTGTCGCATCTGTTGACACCGGAGGTTGCCAGTAAATTCACGTTACTTGGCACCTCTTCAAAACGAGCACTACAGAAATGCACGTTTTACAGCTGCATACGAAGTAACCTATATCTATTACTTTAACTTCAGGTGCCTTAACTAATCTCTTTCTGTCATCCTCTGTCAACGAAAAAGACCTTGGTAAGCTCTATGACATCGCGACACAAGGTTACTTTCACGATATCCGAGACAAGATGATAAAGCGTAATAGGAGAAAACAAGACCAGATATGTACTAATTTAAAGTGATAACCTCCCTACGGCTCTATAGTTACAGTCAACAATATTAACGAACATAACCGTAAGTTCAGCTTCAAGTATTTGGCTGAGCCAAAGCATGTCATTGAGATATGGTTGTGACTTTTTTAAAATTCAGAATTCACAGGACGAATACCTCAATTCTCAATAGCCGAACCAACGTGGCTTAAGGGAATAGTCCGTGCAATTGTTTTGATGTTCTGCCTAGATTTCAACGAACATTATTTTTTTCAAACAGCTTACTTTTTTACTTACACGGGAAACTGTTGAAGTGTTGAGAATGTGTGTTTGAGTTTCAGTTAACTTTTGCTTAAATGCACATTCCTTATAAATAAAACATAACCTATTCCTTCTTTTTCAGGTAATTTCAAATAACAATGAATTAGCAATTGCATTGGATATGCAAAACAATCGATGCTTAAGCTTCTACTCTATTGCTGTACAATAATACGCTTTTCCTGTTAAATAAAATTTTGAAAAAATGTACCGCTTTTCCACTGCATGGCAGATATATTTCGGTTTGTTGAAAATGAAGGCGAACATAGGAGACCTTTGGGGTTCTGTCAATGGATGGAAAATAGGGGGTTATGTGTGTATTTAGGCGAAAAGTAGACAATCAAGCGCATAAGTAGGCAATTCCGCGGGAATTTAGGCGAGAATTCGGTGGATGTTTAGGAAAAAATGCGACAATTCGGCGGATATTTCGGTGAAAATTCGCAAATTCAGCGGATATTTAGGCGAAAATGCGACAATTCAGCTGATATTTCGGCGAAAATGCGACAATTCGGCCGATATTTAGTTGATAAGTCAGTAATTTGTCGACAAAACGGCGAAAAAGGGGAAAATCCGCATTATTTCCCCGGACAGGCGAAAAACGCGACATTCTGATGCGTTTTCCTCTTTATTTCCCCTTTCGCTACCGAAGCATTCCCCTTTTTGGGTTGCTTGGGTTGAATTGCGATCACACTTTTTACCTAACCCTTATCTCTTAATTCCGAAAACTTTTTAAAATTTGAGTACAGATCCTCATGACGGCAGGAATTTGAGGAGAAGAACCTGAACTATAGGGTAGGACAACCTCAAAAATTGGAGTCGTCTTCATCAACTAAAGAATGTAAGTAAATATGGGAAATGTTTTCAGCTGATATTGAAAGAATTTGTTAGACATGCGCAGATTTTGCATGAATGAGGCACTATTGAGAACTGTCTATAAATTCTTTGTCCCCGAGATCCTAATCTTAACAAAACGTTATCGATGTATGTATCAATCTCATTTCGCTGCCGTTTTTAGTCAACTTTTTTCTTTGCCACTCCAACTTTTTATACCTTGTCCATTACGTTTCCCTCACATGAATTAGTAACACTACTGTTAACCGTCAAATTCATACCGTGTTATTTTAAGCTAAGTAGCACCATAGGTTGATGTACTTGTGGTCGTTTGTGAGACCATAATTTGTGAACGGCATTTGAGTGATAATGGAAAGACCCAGGGAAAATTCTATCAGTTTCTAGGGCTATTAAAGAGTTGTAAGTTAATTAGGTCAGAATAACGAATAAAGTTTTTCATTATGAACTTGCACCAGCTGACATTACAAAATCCCCTCACTCGACTTCTTAGTCATACAGATTGTAGCGGTAAATAAATCTCCAAAATAAATAGCTTTGTAAGTTTTCGACATTGAATGCTGACCACATTAGTTTTAATGGACTCACCTAGCTGAAGGCGCCCGGTCATGCATCCGTACCAGATCACGAGTGGGAACGCCGTGCTCAACAACCCCTGCAAGCGCTAGGCAGATTAGATCAGCCGATTCTCGATATATTGATAGCCTATCAAATATATCTACGAACCTCCCCCCGCTTCTGTCTTTTGATTTCGCTTGGTGAGTACGATTCATACTAGGTGTTACTGTTTAAAGCGTTGTCAAACTCCAAATACCTGCGGCATCTTGAGGATAAATTAATCTAACGTATAAGTTTAAGGGTTATTACCTCAAATCTGATTGCTTAGCCCATAGATTATAGTCCAACAACATGGACCTAAAGCCTCCAGCGTCGCTTTATAAAACTGTGGCCATACAAATCACACGTTGCATCTTTTTTGCCCACAGGCCAGATTCATAAATATCGAATCGTAAAACTGAACATATAATAGGAAAAGTGTAAACGTCATGCACTTAGCCATGAAGTTTAAAAGCAGTCAACATTTCTGGTTGTTATTTTCGATTTGATCACTAAACCAACGAAAAATTACACGACAAAATAGATACCTCATAACTTTTCTACAAAAATTTGTTACCCGAAGTCGATCGGTGAATACGACCAGATACTGCTCAATGGAAACCACATCAAAGAGCAACGATCTGGATTAAGCCCTCCGTTTTTTAATCGAAGATAGACCATATCTATGACCCTATTTAATTAAGACGACCAAAAACCTTCAAACGGACAGCTTGCAACGGAAACTTGAAAACTTAGTGCACACCCAAGGCATATTAGTTCCTGTTCACCTTAGTCCTTTCTCCATTCCACTGAATCCTTTTCCACAGTTTTCATACTGCACACTATCAGTCACCTAATCAGCAACGTGATAGCTGCCAGTTTCAACAACCCTATTTTCCTGAGACTAACTCATCTCTTAGGTCCAAGATTCCTCAACCCCAAAATAGCCATCGAATTCACTGAGATTAGTGAAGTTGAGTGGCTAATCTGCTTTTATTGAATGTTTCCGAGATTTTGGCAATGTATTATAACATTTGGAAAGTAGTGTGAAAGTCAACTGGTTTACATTAGACTAATATTACGAAATTGAATATTGGAGGCTTTGATAATGTGCAGTATAACAAAGTCATTAACCTATTATCGTGAATGATTTGTAATCACGGTGGTAATAGTCTCATATTTGAGAAGTTTTCATGTTCAGAGTCTGCACCTGATACACTTCGAAGTCTTAACTGCATTTTTTGTCTGATATCTGTTATTTTCGACCAGTCCTTGGAGCATAATATCCGCCAGCAATATGCAAACAAGTTTTTAAACTTTATTGAGGTCTCCACTATTCGCCGTGAAACTATAATATGCAGTGAAAAGTTGCTCGATAAATCTATAAGTTCCATTTTAAGTAATTTACTTGATCTTAAATTTTTATACTCAGGGACGACTTCTACAGAACTTCTTGAGAAAGATCAATGCACTTTTACAGGTATATACATATATCAATAAACAAACTGGACGCAATGTAGTTCTGAAGTGTTTACTTCTTCTAGTTAGTCCTAAGCTAAAGCTGAAGTATCTGAGTTACACATACTATCAAGTAGGCAGTTATCTACTATCTTATTCACAGGTTATTTCAAATATTGACAAAAGTCAGGACTACATTTATAACCTTAAGCTGTTTTGCGGTTTATTGGACAATTTAGCGGCTGCAAATCCCGTGCTTCCAGGTATTTCTTGATTTATCTTTAACATTAGACGTAATCAAAAATTATATTTTCGTATTAATTACTACCATATCTTCTTACCTGGATTCATCTTCAATCTGTTACTTAAATTGTCTTCTTAAACATCTTCCAAGAAAGTGTTTTGATTCAGTAAGAACCAGTTTCCAGAAAGTTGCAGAGTTAATCCTAAGAAACAAGAGCAGGGACGTTGTGGAAACCGGGCTAGGTTTAACTGATTAGTTTAATATTTACATCTCCACAGATTGTTTGTTCAGATTGTCTCTCTGCAATCGAAGCTTTGTTGATATTTGCAAATATAAAGAGCTCCCGGTGGTTTTACGTGCTCTTTTAAATTCTAACGATGATCAAATTAAAGAAATTACATTTACATTCATTGAACTCCTGGTGAATAAGTTTAATGATGATGCGATTAAATTGGTTTGTACGTCTGGTGTCATTGGTATGTATACGTTGGTTTGAATTATTTTAGAACTCCTGTTTGATAATATTTCTTTTAAAAACCCGTGTTTTAGGTACTAAGTTTGTTTCCTTAATATAACTTCAGAAACGTTTTAAAATGCTTACAAAGAATAGGTACAGAAGTAGAGCTGATGTCTTCAAGTTATGTACCACATGGTGAGTTATCCTAAAGCTATTCGAGACTGTTGATCACTTTGACTTCTTATCAGGAATTGGCCAAATTGTAAAAGCCATGGATTCGAACCGTGACTACGAAAATGAACTTTTGCCAAGGCTTGTGGAGATTACAAATGGTTTCATAATGTAGTAAGTTGATAGATTGTTCACATTCATTCCGAAGCTATAATGGCCCACTAGACCTTTTTATATGCCCATCAACTTTAGGAAAATTTCTGGTGGCCATTTCAAATATTATGGAAGACTGCACAGTACATTTGGGAATATTAGGAATAACCTGTGTCGCTAATATCTTCAAGTAAGCTCCTTAAGTAAAGTTATTTGCAGGTATGGAAGAGGGACAGCAGTTATGCCGATTAAGGAACTCGAAAAATTTCTAAATTTTGTCGAACATTTTGCAAGAAAACAAATTTATAATTTTAGACACCTTAAGCAACCGAATAACGAATGTGTAATCTCAAATCCAGACATGAAAATAGAAGAAAAGTCCTTGTGTATTTTGTTATCAACTTTGCTGAGTTTGTTACGGGAAATACACATGTAAGTTTTGCTGTAATAACATCATCATGTTTAGCTTCCTGTATGCGAACAAAAGGATCCCAATAAAAGTTCCTGAACTCATTATGGAAATCGAATATTCTCTCACGTATATATTTTTTTCTGTAGTGATGAATTTAGTTTCTGTAGGTTCTATCTTATTAAATTCTTATCGTTTCAAAGCAATTAATGTCTAAAAATGTTACTGTAGAGGATTTGTTATCCGTGCTAAAAATAACAACAATGTATGCTTATGGTATATGCTCAGACATTTCAGTGAAGGAGATTACCAATATTTGTGGCAGGGTATTTGAGCAGTTTCATACCTTTAAAAACTGTATTTCGAACGCTCTGAAAGACAAAATTTGCGAAAGTTTCACTTTGCTTCTTCCACTGTTTTACAAGATTTGCTTTTTGACTAGTAATGAGAACATCAAAACAGCTTTGTGTTCATCTGGCTACCATATACTTAACGATAAAAAGCGGTAACTACATATTTTGTTATATGACTAAATGAAATTTGCTCTAGGGATGTCAGCCTCAGTTTTTGTTCCACATTTTTCTCGAGAGAAATTTTGTTAGCTGTGATGACAGTCAACTCCAGTATATTTAACAATCTTAGTATTCCGTATCTATCAGGGGGCAAACATTTAGCTGACGTCCTAAAGAAAGATGAATTTAAAACTTGGATTTCTACTTTAATTCGTGGATTTAAATATTTTACGAGTAAGTTTAAAATGTATTTAATGGTTTGAATATTTAGAACAATGATACAAACTTCTCTTAATTTTACCGGTACTGAAGTTTCTAAAAAACAATAGTGTTCATAAATTGCACGTTCTTTTATTTAAAGAAATTTGAGCTGCTGCTTCAAAGAGAAATATTATTTAACTAGATTATCAAAAATTTAGAAAGGTATTTCAAACAACAATATTCACAGGGTAGAAAGCATTTGGCCACTAATGTATTATGAAAATATTCGAATAGTTGATAATTTACGTCTTTACATATTTGGACATGCAGACATTATTTGCAAAATAGTAATCAAACAATATGGTTCTAGTGAACTTCCCCCTGTGAGCAAACTCCACTTATGTAGCTTTGTCAATAATAAAAAGGTTCTTTTCCGTATATGGGGTGATGTCAAGAAAATTATAAGCCACTTTTCTGATGATAGGGGTCCTTGATTAGTTTGCATGTAGCAGCAAATACAGCTGATAAAACGACATCTTGTGTCATGGATTTTGTTTATAAATGTATATATATATATATATATATATATATATATATAGGACTACATGTATGTGAGATTTTGAAATAAACTTTAAATCCTTCTTTAAATACTATTGTAACTCAAAATCAAGATGTTTTATAGTTACGATTTGTTTTACTTTCCAGTTAAATGTATCTTAACAAAAAACTCACGTTACGTCCAAAAATATCTGTATGACAAAAAGTATTAAATACTTAGTTAGTATTATTTCAGGAAAACATTTAGTGACTAAACGTACCAAAATTTTAGGGTATAACTCAATGTTTTCAATTAGAAAGCGCTTCGAATACACTGTTCAGGTTGACTGCTTTTGTATTTCTGGTGTCTTTCCCTATCAAGGTGTGGATTTTGAGTGTCTTGAAAAATACATGGAGTTAAGTATACAAGGACAAGAATTTATTGATATTTCTGCCTCAGCAATATCCATTATATGCGTCCTAATCAATCGTAATATCAAACATATTAAAACATTGCAGAAGTTCCCTTTGGTTGAAGATGAAAATCATGAGGCATTTAGGTAAGTGGTATTTGGACAAAAAGCCTGGTTAGTTATAGATTCACTTCACGTACAGTAATGTGAAGGAAACAAGCTCATAGCTTTGTAAACACATTCGACAATATTTTTTAGAATGAGCCAGACCTTGATATCTTAGTACTTTAAAGTTTTTGACGAGACACATTTATTTTAAATATGCTATAAAAGTTTTATACCGGCACAGTAAATTTTGTACGTTTTATAGCATAGTGAACTACATTTTATCATTCTTTTGCGTATAACGTTATTTTGGAATTATTGTCAGCATCTTTTATCATCACAACTTCTATGAGCAGACTGAAAGGGACTCACCATATTATCCTACTGTCGTACGAAAAATACTTCTGTCAAGTTTATGAGCAATTAAATCCATTTTAATCTTAGCATGTTATAGAAATATAACCACTATTTAATCTGTCATTTCTGTGTACTCGTAATAACTTTGTAGCAAGTTAAATAGCTTATCATTGATTAAAAAGTTGAAATATTTTGTTTTTGTGTCACACCAGACGTCAGTTGCGCTCTTTAGGTGCTATTGCACTATCTGTCAAAGCGGATGTTAAAAGACATCTAAAACTTACGAAAACCGTCATTTCAACGATTGTCTAACTTTAGTTGGTCAGTGATTTTCATAAAACTCAATAATCTCCACAATTCCATAATACAGAGCCACCATTATTAAAACAGAACAGTTGGAAGAATGAGCTTGAGACTGATCGATTGCAGTTCTAAACACCAATGGGAAGATTCAAGTAAAATAATACCAGGTGAATTAAAACTTCACCTCGTTGCACAAGCAAGTGGCTATCAGGACTCAGTAGCTAGGTAGGTAATGCAATGGCGTTTGAAGCAGACGGTACCGGGTTCGACTCCCGGAGTAAACATCAACTCTAGGATGCAGGTAAATCCAGCTGACGAGTCCCAAATATAACGAAATGCACGTCCTGGATTCCACTACTAACCACCATTCAACTTTTCTTAGAATGAGGTTCTGTTTTAAATAATTACATACAAAACGGTTCACTGAAATTTTGTTCAGAGTAAGTTTTCTGTGATGATAATCTGATTTTCCAAAGCCTAATATATCAGCTATGGTAGTCTAACTTCTGGATCTGGCTAAAACGTACACTGTTGTCATGAAATAAAAGCTAATCGAGGTTGATAGTTTCAAATTGTTATTTTCAGTCGTTTTAGAAGACACTTATACCAAAGTGTTTCCCAATTTAGGGAAATTCCCACCATTATTAGGAACATTAGTATAGTGTTTTGGAACTTCTACGAGTTTTACTTGGTTTCAGAATTACGGAAAACTTTGAACAAGTAAAGGATAAGTGGTGGTTTACTAAGTTAGATAGAATGGTTCTATTTTTAGTCGGAAATAACATTTTGTCACCTTATTTTGTCTTCGGTTTAAATTTGGAACAATACTATAAGTGTAACCATGTAATACTCATCTACTATTTTGCCGAAGGCACTTAACTTATTAGACCAGCATATTTTTAATTGTGAACTTGAAATTAAGAATGTATTACGTGTACCAACTTTCAGGTCATTATATAAACTACTTTGGCTATGGGACAAACGAGGCTTTACATTTTATCATTTTTCTGTCAGAATGTACTGTAGTTATAGCTTACTGAATATTCTTATTTTGTTTTCTGAGTAGCACATCACACGTGTTTAAAGCCCCCAACACTAACTGATTTATTTATTCATCCACCATATACTATTCAGTATAATATAACCTAGAGCAATTTTTATTTTCAACAATCCTTGAGGAACTAGATGAAGAGATGTAATGTCTTTACTTTTCAGAACTTAAAGCAGTGCACATGCTGTTTGCTGTGAGTTACCAAACCTTATATATATAGTAGGCAGCCCATTAGAATAAGAACGACTCGATATCAATCACCAAATGGTTTTGAAAACGTTATCAAGGTTTCTTGTCATAATTCTTTATACGTTGTTATGAGATTCTTCATAACAAAATTAGAAAGACACCATCAAACATAAGGGTAAATTGTGTCAAATATTCATATCCAGAGTTCGTTCACCAATAAAAAAGAGGAAAGAAGCATATAAACAGTGAAAGTTTTGCTGCTATTTAGTGTTTCAAGAATGTGTTCCCAAATGGACTTTGAATGCGATTTATCTTAAATTGATTTCCTGTTTTTTGATAGATCACCATTCCTCTCTAAGCCAAATTATGGTCTATGGTATCTCGAAAAACGAAACAGAATCTTATTTATTCAATCGTATTACGAATATAAACATTTTTAAATCGGATATATAGTACTTAAAATTATATTTAAAAAACTCTGTGAAAGTTTTAAAGATACTGGCTCCAAAAGTATTTCTAGGTAATTCTATTTAATCATGGCAGAACATAATTTTAATTACAGTTTTCTCAGTGCATGAATAGCATGAAAGGAAAAAGCGAAGAACTAGGTAAATCTGTTACTGAAAATAAACCATGGACATATCTACTACCATTTTCAACCAAACAATATAATCACCCGTGACTAAGATGACAGGATACATTGCTTAATACTCCATCTTCCTTCATGCATCATTAACCTAATTTATTGATAATTGATTTTATTTAATACTGCCCTTACAGAACGATATCGTTAATAGATAATCTGTCTATCGTAATCATTCAAACTTTATTCAGTGGTCTGCCTATGATACGTACGAACATACATCTCAACTTTCTTCAATCATCAGACGATTCTGTTGTGTAACATCAAATTATAAGCTTAGACGTAGTTGATCCAAGAAATTCACTTATTTGACCACTGAATTTTACAGCTTACATAAAATTTAAGGGACTTAAATGGCATATAAGCTGCACGATTGATTATTTATGTCTCAATATCTTAAACAATATTTTGTGTCATTTAGGCTGTGAATGCGCCTCAGATCATCTGTAGTTTTTACCACTGTGAAGGTTTCTGAGATAGACTTGTGGAGCTATATATATATTAGAAAAAACACGGTGTGTATGTATCAATCATCAACTTCTTGAATTTAACTCCGATGGTCTTTAATAAAGGATTGAATAACCCTTATTTCTTGTCTTTTTAAAACTAGGAATTATGTTATTTTCCCAAGCAAAACTTTAAAGCGAATAATTCAGTTTCCCACTAAGGCAGGAGTCAACTTCTTTCTTCTGATTTCTGTTTTAATCACCGTAGAATTTCTCATCACATATACGGTAAAGCGATATTTTAGTTTCTTACTTGATAATTCTTCTAGTGTTTGCCGAAATTCTGGGATTTTTTCGATAATTCTGTGATCGCCGATGAGTATAATAAAGGTATGTTGTTGTAAATGTGAATACATAGATCTTATTCGTCTGAGCTCAAACTTGATACATATTGTGCACAGCTTGCAGACCAAGCAAGCCTTCACTACTGATGTCAAATATTTAAAAATAATTGATTTAATATGCTTGCTGGTTTTGCGCTACATCCGATACTTCATTGAAATTACTACCTTTACCAGTTATTTTTTCGAGTTACTAAAATAATCATCAACTGAGAATGTATTTATTTCGATTCTCGAGAAAATCTATCATAGTTATTTGCTTGGTTATATGATATTGATTGTTTTATTCCAAAATATTTTATATGAATCTGAAATTCGGGGGAAAAACTGTCAATTTATCCTTCACTTCGCATATTGGGTATCTAAAAAATAAATAAAGAGATTAAGCTCTCAAAAATACTTTGTGACTATACAGTTACGAGCAAGTATTCGTCTTATTGCTATTGACGCTTGTAAAATTTCTGATTAGTAAGACGGAGAACTGGGATGATTTACATTTCCATGTCAATTGGGTTCGGAATTGAAAATATTCTCTCAAATCGTTTACATAATGAACATTCAAATTCATCGAGTTTTTTTAAAGTGAAGCTAACAATATCTACCAACTAATTTGAAGTGTCATAGCTTTAATTAAAAGTACATTGGAGTGAAAGTGTAGATTGCTTTTATATTTTCTGAAAACGTTAGCTATTGACTGAGTGGATTCAAAATTTACTCAAAGACTATGTGAGTTGAACTTAACTCCCTATTTTTGTGCAAAATAAGGCTTTTAAGAATAAGTCACTCAAGATGAGAACGCATTCGGTAAAAATTCGGTTTTTAGTAATTACCATTTGTGGATAACTAAGCTCGTAATTATGGAGGGTAATAATAGTCACATGATTCTGTAAGATATGTACAAGTAGTGCTTCCTAGTTAATTAAATTTAGAGAATTCCAGTGATGCTATTTTAATTCCAGAATGCATCTTAGATAAGTAAAATGAAATGATCATTTAGTTAGTTATTTAAAAACAAAACTAGTAAATATGTGCTTTTCAAATTATTAATTCCTTACTTAGATTATTGAACACTATACTAATAATAGAAATTGTGACATTTATCAGGTAAAACACCAACTCTAATTCCGATCTGGATTTCTATCATCTAGTATTTTTCATGATCATGTGGTAATAAGGAAGCATTACCTCATGATAAATTAACCGTATTTTTCTGTGTAATATATACTCATTTGTGCAGAAAACACTTCCATGTATAGAACACGGATTTTTTATAATTACTAAACGCTGATCTACATCGCCTTAAACCCACTGACCGTGAACGTGCGAAACGTGAAAATTCATGAAGTTGAAGCCATTGTTTTTATATTTTAGGTTTAGACATTTTATCTTTAGCACTGTTTGATCGTCTACAGCCTGTACACACTCTGGTTCTATTGCGCACTCCACGATTTTCTACTTACTTAGAGAATTGCAGTCCCTGTTGGATCAAAATGGCCCAAAAAATTGTAGGTTAAAGGTCATTTTCGTTATAGTATGAAAGTTTTTTTATTCTTTTGGCTAGAGCCAATGAAGCTATTTTACTTCTTATAGCGTCTTCCTAAAAATCACAGAGTTAAATGATTGATAACTAATGCATATGGCATTCCACAAAAGATTTTAAGACCATTAGATATCTTAGTTGCAGTTGACCTTAAGGGAACTTTTCAAAGAGGAATCGATACTTTAAGTGTATAATCAAAGCTGCTTATGATTGTATAAAAGTTAAAAATACTATTGATTACGAACAGTAACTGCACCTTAAATAATATTTCTAATTACTCTTAAACAAGAGTACTTCAGGTAGTAAAATTTCTTACACATACAGAATTATTTATATTTAGTATATCCATTACAATATTCTGTGTTCGCTTTGTTGACTGAACTTTTGTTGCTGACGATATATAAATACATCTTTATCATCCCTATGCCATTCACAGAGTCTTTTTTTCATAAAACAATGTGAGGTCGATTTCTAACTTTATTTATTGATAAGCTATTATACCAATATAAAGATTAGATCTGGGAAATGTAATAATTTAGGTGTTTTGTTCGTGATCAATATCTATCGTTGTGTTCGAACTATCGGCATTTTTCAGGATTAAGAATATGCACTAAGTTACAAAACTTACTTTTTCCCATCAGAATACTTATCTATTCCATATTTATTTATTCTGGAAAAACGTTCACGACCATGGTGATCAAAGAATAATCAACCAGAAGAAATTGCCAAAAACAGAATATACCTCAACTTCTTGTCTACTTCTTTGTTTTATGTTAGTAAAAGAGCACCGTTAGACGTGGTTTGTGAAATCATATAAAAAGACCTAGTAAAACCATAAACTGTTGTGACTTTAAAGTCCATCTAGTTATCACGTCATTTACTCGCCAATCGAAATACGACTTATTCACTCTTGTACTGTACTAACTGCTATGATGGAAAGAAAAGTCAAAATTCGATGGATTTACTAATCATGAGTTTCGTTCAACATTACTTCTCTTATGATATTTTATTCTGCATAACATACGATATTCCTGTATTAAATTGACATGAACTATGCTCAGTATGTGGTTTGTTATAACTAAGTATTTTTTCATATATGTGAATTACATTCTAATTATTAATCAAAATGGGTGTACAATCAATATATAAATGAGTGTATTTTCGACTAGAGTCGTCGTCGTCATCGTGTTTTGGGGTTAATAAATCGGCATGTATACCAGTCTTTGTGTTCTTACTTTCGCGTCGTGGGAATTGCAGAGGTCCCTCGTTTTGAGCATAAGTGATAAGCGTTTCCGACATAACAATACGTGACGTCCAAAACAAGACAATCAGTATTCAAACGACAAGTTGTAACACTAACCAATGACGTTCGACCGGGCTGATCAGCCTAGCGTCCTTATTGGTCCTTTGTTCACCTTGCCCGTTCAACTGAGTCCAGAACACCAATAACAGTTTCCGCTATGCGAATCCTTTATTTCAGACATGCTCGGTTTATATAGCAGCCAAACAGGCCTCATCACACCATAAAATAGGAAATAACATTTATACAAAGTAAAGCCCAAAGTGTCTGTGAACGTGGGAGACTGTAATCAATAAACTGAACATAACTTAAGGACGAAATGAAGGATATAGATATATATAATCTAGTTACTGAACATTTATACAATAGGAATATATATATATATATATATATATATTGATCCATTAATAAGTCTCACAGGTTACTCGTAATTTAATCTTTGCTAGGATATAACAGAAAAGTTTAAAATTCAGTGTCGAGAACATTATAGAACCTAAACTATTACATTGATATTGCTTGTTACTGATCGTTATTACAACAAAATATAAACGACCAAGTGTCATTTCATCACTAAAATCCCTTGGTTTTCGTTCTCAAATAATGAAAAGAAAGAAGAATGTCATGCCTAAAAAACACAGGACAATCTCTGATAATCATGATAGGATTAACAACCTAAACAAAATAAAACAAGATAATCAGTTATATGTAACAAGTAACACTTCCAAACATTTAGTTTCTTATTTCTGCGTAGATACTACAGTGCCACAGTGATGAACTATTGATTGAGGAACAAGTATTTTCCCTACTTCCCACAACTTACATCTTGTTGTCCAATACTTGGGTAAGTATACTTTTCTAATTGAATGCGTTCTACCCCACAACATTTACCTCAGTTTCTTGACTTTCTTGATATCTTTGAATTGCAATAGAAAGTATCTGAAACTTTTCCAAAATTACGTTTAGAACAATGGTGATCCAACTAGTCTCTTAGTTGGACCCATGAAAAATCTGAATAATATTTTAAATTTTTGTATAACGTTTTAGTTCTTTGGAATATCATACGCTTATATCCCTAAGATATTCGTTTTTTTATTAAAATGGGACCCTGGGGTCCCAATTTCAATTCCTGATGAGAAAGTGAGCATACGTCTTATTAAATCCCAAATACATAAGTGGAAGTCATCTAGATCTCTCTGATTCATAATGATTATTCAGCTTATTTCAGTCCATGAACTAATTTATATCCACAATTAAGGATTTAATTAAAATTGTCATATTTAACCTATCGATACGATTAAAATAGCTCATAAGTTACAGACAGTAAACAAAAAACTAGGGTTCAGTCGTTTCAATACCCGACTTTTGAATTATATCAATTTAATTTTTACATATAGACAGTATGGTACAACAATTTGATGAAATTCGACAATGCGGATGTCCTTCAGCGTTTAGTTCTAACTTTCGAAATACAAACACTCAGCTTAAAGGTTAGTTTTCATAGTCATTAATGAAATATCCATTTAAAATTATTTTATATCTATCTTTTACTGAATATGTTGATTCATTTAGAAACTAATGTGAAAGCAACTGAATGATGTTATTATGACGGCTTCTAAATGAAAAGCTAAAATAGTTATATGTATTCCAGAAAGAGTTTTTCATTTTTGCTTTTCACGACGAACTCGAAAAAAAGTGATTGATGAACAGTATTTTGTTACCTAATATGAAGTCCTTGCCTGTCATAACTATAACTCACATTTCCAATTTTGTCTACAAGCTCTTCTTTAGGGAATACAAAAATTACTATTCACTTAAGTTGATTCGAAGTTCATGTTCTCTCCTAATGAAACTTATTAATTTGTTACATGCAAGAACGATATGATCATGATCAATTTGTATTATCGCGAATTATCTTGGCTTTTCTATTGTTCAAATAGATATGGTTGATTAAACCCGGAAATTGTCTTCTGTACTTTCAAAGCCTGAAGAAATTTAGAAATCCCGTTGACTACATTTAATGACTGTTCTTGCTTTGATAATGTCGAAAATTTTAACTGAATGATGTATGGTTGCACCAGAGTTCGAAATTTTCTCTAAGAGGACTGACAATAACGTTTAATAACATGAGTATTAAAACTATGTGTATAATTTTATCCTCTGCTGATTTGCAAATAGGCTGGTTGAAGAGATATTTTTGCAGACACTGAAATATTCATTGTATTTTTTTGCCTAAGGAAAAGGATGGATCGGTAGAAACTAGTTATTCTTCTGTTCAGAGAAAACAGTTAGCACTTTATATTTGTGATTGTCTCTCAGTACTGCCAAATAACCTTCCGGGATCGTTTCTAGACGTCTTCACTTCTAACTGTAAGTCATATTCTCAGGCTTTTATTTTACTCAATTTTCGGGTTCATAAATGCGTTACTTGGGTCAATCCTGAACCCTAAACATTTTTAAAAGATGTTTAATTGTTTTTTAACACTACGGCAATTTTTGAACCGAACTCTATCTACTTTGATTTTGATACCTAAATAGAATTATATATAAAATGCGGCTCAAAGTTAAGCTTAATAACTTGTTCTTGGTTCACAAACCACATAAAATTCTTGAGTTAAACCTTTTCAGAAACATTTATTAAAGCAGTACATATTAGTAATCCGATTATTTTTTTCTGATAAAATCTGCTAGATTAGAGAGTTAATCATACTTATGATAATCCGTTTGTTATATAGGATCATTTACGTGATGTTTATGCATTAACCTTCCTTCTGACTACTGGTATATACCCGTGTTTTCTGTTTGATTATGACTTGTAAGTGTTGGGAAATCGATTACAGTATTGATTAACTGTTACAATTTCATTTGCCAAGCAAACCGATCTGGTCAACAATATATATAATGTAATATCAACGTGAGCTATTCTTGATATTATCTGTTTGGAAGTAATAGGAGCAATATATAACCGAAGTTGATTTATATTTTGAAAAGTAGCTAATTATCTTTATGATCTGTAATCACAAAGCGCTTTGGCAAAGTCTTAAGTTCATGAAGTTTATTTGAAAAATTCACCTTAAATTTTCTTTTCATACATTGAACTTCTAATTTAAAAGAAACGGCTTATCATTCAGTTTCCTTATTTTTGTACTAATAACAAGTTCAAACGTAACTCTAAGTTCTAGGCTACTAGAATCCAGTTAGTGATTTTGATGCTTGAGTTGTATAGTGAGTTCCTCCACAAATTATGTAGCGGAGTTAAATTTCATGCTTGTGAGGTAGAATAGTAAACTAGGTGACTAAATCCGGAATGAAGCCGTCTTTGTTTGATAACTTCCATAAGTTTGAATAATATTGTATGTGGAAATTTTATTTAATTAGGCCTAAAATATATAGTTTCCAAAGCAGTATTTAGTTAAAAGCATTCAATTTTGCAATATTTCGATCATTCTACATCATATGGTACAACGCCATCCTATTTGATTGTCACAAAAAAATGAATAGTATTATGCTTGTGAAAATTTACGTAATCAATTACACTGGCTTTGAAACAGGATGAGTTTAGCATTCGACTGTTACTAGAACTAAAAAAATGTGCACGGAACAAATATGGTCATTTTACCAATAAATAATAATTTACTGTAGATATCAAATGCCGTTTGTTGTGTAGTGAAAATTTCAGGGTATATTCAATGGATGCACCCCTACGATATTATTGGTTTTTCTTGAATTCCCTATTTTTTCCCAAATATTTAAGGTAAATACACCGGCGAGCATTTACGACTAAGATATGTAATCAATCCCAAGCACTGCAGATGGTATATTATCGGATTATATAACATATATTTTATGAATATCACTTATTCAGTAGTCTCGTTTATTATAAGTAGCCACTATGCAAAATTTGTTTCTAATCTAGAAATGAATTGTCGTTCATTAAATTCATTGGAAAAACAATTATTTTCAGAATTGAAATTCAATAAATTTTTTTCATTCCCAGATGAACTGAAATATGCGTATGTGAAAATGTTAAAAATAACCTGCTTGTTTCTACACGAAGTCTTCCTTCATTCTCAGTTTGTTGTTATGGTGGCACAACAAAGTATGTTTTTATTTTTGTTAATCTGCCAAAATGATTCAAGTTATTAGACTTTTAGCGAATGAACGATTCGATCCTAATTCTTCACTTCGAAATGATCTTCTCGAGATCATATTACACATTTTGATGAATTCTGATAGTAATACACAAGTACAAAGTTAGTTGACTATAAATTCTTTTTTTCGCTAAATATGGGATTTTTGTCGAATTTACTCTTGGTTCAGTTGAACCGTATGAAATATGCGGAGCAGTATTGAATAAGACCGCAACCAACATACTGTTTCTCGAGTTACTGAACGCTCATACTAAAAATATAACAGCTTAATGAAAATAATAGTTGAAGGTTGAATTTTACTTCCTGTGCATAACATCATAAGTAGTTTCAGTAAAGTTTTCTTGTTCGAGATGGTTGGTTCAGTCAGGGACCGAAACACTCCCAAAATCATCCACTGAGCTACCGATCATCACCATCTCGAAATTAAACCGAGTACTAATCCCTTAATCCTAAACTCTTAAATCATAATTTCTTAAACTAACTTCAAAACCCTGATTTTTAACCATCTAACCTAAAATTTAATTGTATTTTAAGCTATAAGTCATACCATCTTTTAAATTTTTTACTAGGATTTACATTAGATAAAATATACGCTTTGGCCAATACTATCTCAAGTCTCATCACACTCATACCTGTTCAAAACGAACCAGTGTCTTTAACGGGCTGACAAATAATACTTATACGTCTACGTCTAATGCATCAAAAAGTAATATTTGTCTTCTAGAGCTAAACATCTATTGAATCATAACCTACTGAACTAATAAGAACCTTTACGTTCTCCTAACAGCTAAATGGACTCCACACATGGCTGTGTATTTTATTCATCGCTTGTCGATAAAGAACTTCATTACCTCATCGATTATAATTGAGATAAGCAAAATATTTATTACGGCTTACAGAGTCAGTACTAGGAACGATCCTTTTGGATAAAATCGACAGTATTAGTTTGACTTTAAGTACACAAAGTAAACTAAAAATTCGGACCTTCATCTTATAGCGTTAGTATTTGATAATTTTTTAGGTTCGCATAAAGATTTAATCGTAAAGTGATATCGTCAATAATAATCCTGTGGACAGTTCTCCTGAACTTTCAGCAGAAAGCAGTAACCGATAATGTAAGGGATCTACTGACACATAAATGGCATAAAATGTTGCTTCCACTGTATCCTGGATTAACTCATGTTTGTATGTGCGAACCAATAGATTCCAATTTACTGGCCTAATGGTCTTGGGTTTCAGTGACAACTGAATCCAATAGTTGTCGGCTGGTGGAGTGGTCTGAAACAGGACAAAAAGCTGTCTACTGACACTTGATTCTTACAGTTATTGAGACCTTATCCAGCCCTGGTAAAAACTATCTTCTCTAGAAAGGAATGGAATATTCTTTTTAAATGGTAACTCGTATAATACGGATGATTTGGAAATTCTCTAACTACAAAAAAGAAAATTTTATAGAACCTGCACGATTTATCCTACCTTGATCATCTCTGATTTTTGTCAAATTAAGAATTATGTTTATCCATCTAGTTGTAAAACTGCTATGTTCAGAAATCCAAACCTGGGAAAGTTGTATTTTCCGCTTTTCGAAGGAGACTTCCAAAAGTCCTGCAGCTGATCGTTTGAAAATACATACTGAAGAGTTTCAAATCACAGCTGCAGAATTGGACTCCATTCTAGGGATTGGCGCCTCAATAAATATTTGTACAAAACATTTATTAGTCAATAATGATATTGTTGACTCTGTTAGTAACGTGAGTGGATATATATTTGAATCACTTAATTTATTAACAAATTCGTTCATTTCCTTACTGTATTTCACCCCTATATTTAAACGTTCATTCATTTGTATACTCACTTTGGTTAACTTAAGTCACAATAAAAAATGCCATTGACTTCTATAAATGTTATACCTCACAAAATGAAAATTCTTAAATCTCATCAGAGAAACAATATGTTATATTGACTCAGCTCTGCAAACATCATTTAGCACTGTAAATTTAGGTGAATCTTGAAAGCTCCATCTGAATTAGTGAACCGTCTGACAATCCGAGTGACTCAGAACGCATTAAGAAGAAAGTTGAAAAAAACTGAATCCTGACAAATTCTACAAATTTTGATGGATGGTGAAAGCTAAAGCTATGAGAAACAGATCGATAATGGACTCAGGGAAAAAACATACTCAATAACAAAGATGCTTAATGTGATTATGAATCAGAAAGGTTTACCAAGATAAATTTAGAACCAGCAGAAACATTTACCAGAATTAGCGTTTACTCACTCTCCGTTTAGATGAAAACGTTTCGTTTTTGATTTACAAAACTATGACATCTACACGGTCTAAAGAAGTCCAAGTTCAACAGTCAAGCAGACGAATTCATAAAATAAATCAATCAGAGTTCCGAAATAAAAAGAGTCATGTTTTGCAATCTTTCTATACGTATAAATTTTCTAACATTAAGCTTCCGGGAATCATGTGATGTAACCATTTTCTTGAGGCTTTTATAAAGCAGTGGTTACAATAGTAATAATATAAAGAGACGATTAATTTTCATACGTTGATAAAAAAAATTAGTTTAATCATTGTACGGTGACATTCACTTTGCCTTTTATAGCCTTTTGTTTGGAAATCAAGTCCTCATCGTGAATCACAGAGAAAGTGCTTTCATTCTAGATTTATACGACAAAATTATTTTTAAAATTCAAGAAGATGAAGTTTGTCAGCACTATCAGATAGTATTTCGGGCTTCTTTCAGTACTTTCTACCATCAAGTGAATTGATAAATCCATCATAGTTCATTAGGTAAAAAGTCTTTATCTTGAATTCATACTGGTTTATAACATCTTAAAAATAATTTTGTTAAGGTTGAATACATATATACTTCAGATCTGTCACCATTTTTTGTTTATGTGAGGCAACATGAAGTCGAGTTATGAAATCACTTTCTGAAGTAGTCAGAGAATTAAACAATTTTTAGACCAGTTTCTGTTTTAATTTCATTTTCATACGAATACTAAAATTTTGATCACTTTTCCTTACAGTTACTGTTTATGAATCCAGAAACAATTTTAGAAATTTTGAGTCACAATCCAGTAACAAATGGATCTCCTTTCATTCAGACCAGTGCACTTGTTTGTTTATTGGAATCATTTTACGGACCACTGTCTCATCTTTTATGGCCGGATATATCTGAAAACTCGAACGAGAACTATTACTGTGAAGTGAGCATCAGTAGTTTCCACAAATCGTTGTTAATTACGCGACTTCCTTACTGAACGAGCCAACCGATTTTAGATCATTTGGTGTGATAATTATTGAAATACAGTTCGATTCCCTAAAATTGAGATTGCCTTTCTACCTACCACGGTCATTCAGGATCTTACTTAAATTAGTAGGAGACTCGATGGTCTAGCGGCTTAGTAGTAACTTATTTAGCAATATGACTAACTAGCATCTTTTAGGAATGATTTCTTTTCTGATGAATGCTAAGAGTTCATAAGGTTTCGTGTTGACAGTATTCAACGTTCTGTAGTGTCAAGCTGAGAGCTTCACTTCATTCTGCTAGCTTGTTTTCAACTAAAGTGATTAAACATGGTTTCAAGCGTGTTAAGAAATGATCTCAGTCAATTATGGGTATGTCGTCTCTTTGTTTATCAATAACAACTAGTAATTTTATCCCAATATTTGCGTTCTTGAATAGTACTGTGTTTTTATTGTGTCGAATTTAACTAATTCCTGTTATATTTCTCGCAGCTTTTCATGTGCTTGAATACTAAAATCATGGACATAACCCACAGATTTATTCAAGAACTGTCAATCGAAGTGTATGGTTGTCTGATTAAATATATCTGTTTAACTACCAAAAAACAATCATTTATCAGTAAGTTATCTATATTTGCTTACAATGCACAGATATGTTCTTATTGACTAGTCCATGGAGTAATATTATTCTTGAACATTTACAAATAGATGGTTCAGTAAATAATATTGAAAACTTGTCATCTTTCCTTGCTTTTGCCAACGTGGTAGGTATTTCTACGTTTTACACCACATAACCTTAGCTACTATCCACGAAATGTCCTGCAATTTGTTCAATTATCAATAAAAATCAGTTGCGGGGATTATTACTAGCTTATATACATGATAAGGATTTGTATGACTCAATTACGAAGACTTATTTAGGAAGTATATGTCTAAAGGTAAGTAAAGGAAATTTAATTATTTTAATTTTATCGAAATTTAAGGTTGCTTCTCCAGACTTTGAAGTTCTAGGTTTCAGGGAGCGGTTATGCTTAGAAGTTATGATTGCATCAGACAATTTGCAACCTACTCTCAGTATTTCAAATCGCTTTAATTTGTTCTATAAAGAAATATTTTGTTTATGAACATTGAGACTTATGAGTTTGTTATATAGCCTCAAAGATTATATCATTAGTAAATAAAACGTATTTCTCGGCAATCCAAATCACATTTCTTTTTATGTCATGACAATTGGGACCTTCATAATTTTTATTCAGATACTGTATGACGAAGTAGTTTCAAAACGTCTCTTCGCAACTTCATATGATTGAATTTTATTATGTATCTTTTAATCTATAATAAATAGGTTGGGAGTTTTCAAGCATGACATCAATTAACTTCTAATCCATTATTTTGATCTTTCAATCTAGTAGACCAAAAACCTACCGGTTTAGGTTGTTCTCAGAAATCACACTGTTTATTAAAGCTTAAAGTCATATGATTTATTCTCGCTTACACTTATTCTACACTGACAATCGCTATCTATTCAAAACTATAGTTAAAACAAATACAACAATCAGAAAGAACTGTAGTTATTTCCTACGTTTTGATGACACTATGAAAATGATGGGCATGCCTCGATTTCACAGTGTACCACTTACAAATACTAGATTTCTGAAGGTTTCTTACAACTTTTTGAGGCACGCTAGTTTACTGTAGTGGAAAGCGAGTTTGACGTTATACGTAGATTCTTACGCAAGTAATCTTACAGTGTGTAAGAAACAGCGCTTGGGAAGCGCTGACGAGCTGAAAACAACACCTGAGCCCGGAAGCTGTTTCAAGTGATAACCGGAGGTCGATGGAAAGCCAATTAGTAATATCCAAGGTCTTGAACGGTTACTAGAGTTTTTCATAAAGCAGCCCAGCTGGCCCATTATTCACAGAATCGCCAATTAAAATGTCTTGTCATCCCTGATCGGTGACAACTGATCAACCTATCGAATCGAAGGTTCTCAAAGTACTCCAACTTATAAAGCGCCACAATTCACCGGGCCCAGATGACCTACAATCCCTCCCTTCGTTAGGTGAGGGCGAAATTTTGATCAGGAAACTGACCGAGTTGTTTGGAAAGGCTTTTGAAATAGTGTTCCGAAAATCCTGGGACGAAGTGATAGTGTTCCTCAGCAATACTTAATGAAGGCTAACCGTCGTTATGTTTTTGATATTAGGGTTCCCGTCAATCTGTTGCAAAAAAGAACTGTACTCTACGATTGCATAGATCTGTCACCTGGAGGAAAACTTCTCGGTAACCATACGATATCGTCTTACTATGATATGAGACAAAAGCTATCCAATTCGCACTTCTTCTGTTGCAAATCCGTGTCCGTAACTATGAGATTTACTTTGCACGTTCCGAATACAACACATTTCTACAAGACTCAGAAATCTGTACTGTCACTCATACTTGGTGGTGAACCGCAATATATGTTCGTGTGTATGGTAAGCTGTGCGAGTGATGATGATGGCGTGATCGATGAGATCAATCTACTTATAGTGAAATTCAGAGTGGATTATGCCAAGCTGATTCATCTTTGGCGCCTTCATGATGTTAGTGTGACTGAAATATCCGGTCTACAACGCGTCGAGGAGAACGATCCTGCCCCGTGATTGTGAAACCTGACCTTTCCTAGCTGAAGATGTCCGGTGACTCTCTGTTTTCGAAGGAGTGGTGACATTCGATGGCAACACCGTGTTAGCAATGCTGAGGTTCGACAATGTGTATCCGGGATCAGTGATGACAATTTAGTGTCACCATCTTGAAACACTGACTTCGGTGGTTTGGACATGTGTTGCGAAGATCATCTGAGCGATTTTCACGTTGTGCTTTATTTTCGGACTCTGGGCGAGGTACAACATTGGGAGAAGTGGTCATTTCACAACACGATATCATAGTATGAATGAAAACTGTACGAGACTGGGACATTTCAGTTCCTCACTGCTCCCTGGTTAGGATTCTAAGGATTATACAACTTAGTGGCTTGAGACATTATCAAATGTGAGTGGAAACAGAAGCCAATGGAGATCCTGCAGAAGCTTTCTTTTACATTCTTCATATAGAAAATTGAGAGGACGTGGCTTAACTGAGAGATGTGTTGCTGGTTGTATTTTTAACTGAACTATATATTCTATCATATACTATTCTCGGCCACTCATTATTATTAATATTATTATCCCTAACCATTTGTTTATTTTTGATTGTACTTCCTCTTCCTCACCTACCTCTTGACAATTCCATTTCACTATTGTTTAGCGCATATTTTGTTGCCCAGGTGTACCGATATTTGTGTACCTAACAAAATATATGCTTTGAAAACTGACGATTTTAAAAACTAAGAAGGAACAAAAATCCCAAATTTATTACGAACATATCAAAATCATAACTTCATAAAAAAGATTAAAAAACAAATTATGTAGATGAAAACACAACGTTATATAGAACAATTAGTGACAGCTGCATGTTTAAATATAAATATGTGGAAGCAAGTTTGTCTGAATTATTCTATGCGTTTATCATGATCATCATTATCACAGCATAGACAATCAAATGCACCATGTATCTTGTATTAATTTTATAAATGTATCACAGGAATCATTTATGTTTTCACCTAGAAAATAGTTTTGAGCGCACTCACTTGATGGAAGCAATGAACATAAATCCATATAAGCTGCATCTAATCTTAACTGATCAACAGGACATTCTCCTAAAGTAGTCGAAATAGCTTGATAATATACTTCGAATTCTGTATACTCTAGGCGTTTTTGAACATGAACGAATTTTTCGAAAATTTTCAAAACATCCGGTAGTGAATGAGCTATATTAGTACCTGCGAACATTAATGGAAATTTCATAACAATGAAACATTATTGTTGTGTATAATTAATGCTTTTTAATAAGTAAATGCATATAGTAATTGTCCTAATGTGAAATTTAGGAAACTCCAGAAACGGTAAAGAAGATAACCAATAATACGAGCATTTTACACTTTCTACATTTGGTGAAGCAAACAAAATGTAATCTGTGAAGGCATGGCCTACACAAAGTTAGGACAACTGAGCACTTCAGAAGTTGTGCTCATAAGATTTTACATCCGACTCAAAATGTTAAGAAAAATTGTACATCTCTACATACATCATCCCGAGTATGGTAGATTTATCCTTGATACTCTTCATGTTACTTTCGTATTTCTCAGAATATTAGTAATGGGACTTTCCGTCATTAATAAAGATTTCTGTGTAGACAGATATTTTTACTTGAGTGTTTTGTTCAAATTCCTAAAACGCTTTTAGACTTATATGAATGGAAACGGAAAGGAAACCATCTTGCTATTTGTTCCATATTTAAATCAAAACCTTATGAAAACAAATTGAAACTAAAGTTTAAAGGAACCAGTACAGTGTTCTTCATTAGAACTAGATATCCCATTTTATACAATTGCAGAAACATAACATGTTCAATGCATTTGTATTTATTTATGCTGAAAGTGGTTAGTTTAGTTTAGATTGGTAAAAGTTTGTTAGTAAGAGTGCAGTCGCACCCTTAGTACCGTTTATTTGCCTCATTAATTAAAAGAGATTTATTTACTGTATAAGGAAGAATGACAAACGCCACACCATTTTTGAAAAACCAAAAGAATTTAGAATTTACCCAGTTGATTCACAGCCCATTTAGGAGTATTGAAAAATCGTTTAATATCCAGTAATTGGATATGACCAAGTCGATTTGGATCCATTTTTAAAAATACCTACATGATTGAACCAAGAAATAATGCAGTGTTTAAGAGTAAATTGTTATTATAAAACTAGGAATTCGAAAACAATTATTAGATGGTCAGCTTAGAAGGACACATGGAATAAATAATGAAGCATTTCCACGTCAAAATATTGTTTAAATTGTTAGAGATAGATGAGATTAGTTTATTATTATTATTATTATTATTATTATTATTATTATTATTATTATTATTAGCTTTATTCAATATTATATTATTGGTACAATATAGAATTCTCAGCACAAAGTATTTCAACAAGTTTCCGTTTCTTTCTTCTTGGTCGGTCCTCGCGATAAATACTGAGTGATCGCCAACTAGATGTTAACAGTCCAGTAAATGAATATCTGAATAATGTACATTCTTTTCGTTGTATATTGCCAGCAACAATATTCTCTCTTTTTGAGCTTTTTGTAACTTTGACAACGAAAGGTTGTACACTTTTTAGAAACGCAGCAGAATAGGTTGTACGATTAATAGACATAATGATATATTAAAACAAACAAAGATAGATAACTTGTCGAAATATCTAGATGGCAGGAACAGGTAGCCCAGATGCTCAAGCAGGCCGCCTTGGAAAAAAATACTAGTTGATTTACGTAATAAAACAAAAAATGGATTGTAGATGTAGATGTATTCCAAAGCATAATCTATTGAAACAAACAAGATATTTGACTTTTCTAACATATAAACGAAGCTTAAAATAACTGAGGAGGATCTTAATCCATTTACGATACATAAATCGTGTTCCAAGGTATAATAATTCAGAACGCTAAAAATGTACGAAACTATGATTGTTATTAACTTCTGTGAGAATATAAATATCAAAGCTCCTTCATCGTTTTGTCAATTATGAACCAAACATAGATATTAAAATACATTTTACTTTCATCTAAAAATGTTATCTACCTTTACGAAAATCATATGGAACCGAACCCATAACCTTCAGATTCCGTGCCAAACACGGCACTCTTAGGAAGTGACTAATAATCGAATGGTCAATATTTCCAAACATCTTTATACATATATATTACAAGTGTACTAAACAGATAAAAGTGTGAGGAACACACTGATGTAGCGAATAGTAACTGAAATCTGTTTATTCATATAACTATCGCATACAAAACAATGCTGAGAGATATTCTAAACTGTGATAACTAACTGTAGTTTTGGGATGGTATTACAAATTACTAATAGTACTAATTGAACTAAGACAGACAAAACGTAACTAAGATGTCGCGTTTGAAGTGAACAGAATGGAGTCGTACTGTATTATTATAACCGATTAAAACACGAAATAAAACGTTTGATTGAGCAATAACCGAATTAATCATTCATCACACTAACCTATCTGTGAAGAGTTAATTGTAAGATAAAATAATCTGGTTTTCAAACATTAGTATTGAGTGATTACAGTAGTCCAGAATTTGAGTAGACTGGTTTTGCATATGGTGATTCAACATTATTCTTTCACCGTTCTTACAAAAGTAACATGATTTATATCCATGTGAACGAAAACTGAATGTCTTGTATATCCAATCCTGAGAATCCCAAAAGCAGTTGGAAATTAAATGCCCAGGATTTCCTGGATTTCAAAGGTTCTATTGTTGACATGATTTTGTGTTGTACAAGCGCAACTGACTCGTTTATATTCCCACGTTTTACTTATCTAATATTAATATATCTCAGTTTAAATTTGAATATCTTTTCATACCAATAGCGTTGGAAGTGATTTTAAAAACTCTAGTAAGGAATATGTTAGGAATGGTTTATTTCATGCATCTCCATCGTTAGACAAACAAAAAATTAAGATATCGAACGTGTACGAAAATGTGAACATGCAGCATGTGATCGGATGAAGTGATCAACTTCAAACTTGATTTATATATGTCGGAAACAATTGATGAAATAAGTGAACAGTAGACGTGCACACAGACACCAGTTATAAAGAAATGTATATTTATGTGAATGAATGACTACGCCGACGAAAGTAAGTACAAAATCGATAGTAAGATTAACAGAAACACGATTATTACTCAGGTAACAGTTAAACCATAAACAAGTTCAACAAGCTTTTGCAGGCTTGGGTTTTCTGCAGGTGGGAGCTATCTTGACAATAACCGAATGTCCTCTTTAAACAGAGATCACTATTCAGTGATATATCAATAAATGCGAATTAAAACCCCAAACTGGATACTTTGATAGTTTACTCATTCTTTACTAAAAAATGTGTCGGAAACTGCTTACTTTCTTAACTAGTGTACGATGAAATTCAGGTAATTCTCCAAAAACAAGTGAAATGTAATCTGCGAAATGCATAATTCCATTGAAACCTGAATGAGCCTCTAACGCGTTCCATAATAAATCTAAGTTCTCTGTCTAAAAAAAGTTTTGGAATATTATTGATTAACTGACCATTAAAAGTAGTTTTAACAATAGTCTAATAAGATTATAAGAAGTAAAAATAAAGGAGTATGGTGAGTAAGATTTTATTAACATGGTTCTCTTTTATTATGACTCACTAACCAAGATTTATTCTTAATCATTTCGAAATTGTGTTCAATGAAGTTAACTTTTTGAGAAACTAATGCACTAAATTATTGCACAGTAAATTATTATTATTATTATTATTATTATTATTATTATTACGGTATTGACTGTTAAATGGACAAGCAAAATATTGTTTATTTGATCTTGGATTATAAGCTTTGACCTAATGGTACGACAGCAGCAATCAGATTCCAAAATCAATGACGGATGGTTTGTAACTTGTTAAGAGCTATGTAAGAACTCACCATAACTTAACAATATATCACTACTTCGATGGTGAAAATTAATGAACACAGCAAGGCTAAAGAATAGGCACAAACTTGAGTTATCCTTACAATGACGATGGAAATTAATTCTTTTTGGGGGAAAAATGGTGAAAAGTAAATAGATTGAAAATACATGACATTTAACAGGATTATTAAATTTTATGAAGTAACCTCACACCCTTTTCAAACCCATATAACCACTTGCACAAGTATCCACCATTATAAATACAAATCACTATCCTACTTCAGCAATATTCTCTAACCCTGATTCCTTTTCTTCTACTCTAAGAAATAATTTACGTGGAAAGATTCATTAATCACACGAAAACTTGTTGTTCATTATAATTTTATCATAAGTTGGTTCCCATATAAGCTCTGTTTTCTGACTGATTGACAAGCTAATCAAGGTCGGTCACATAGTTGACTTCTTGATATGAAGCGGCATCCGAATTTACCAAACTACTAATGAATGTAATGCTTCTGGTAATCACTAAATATATCAACCTAACTCAATCAAAGAAACCGAAAAACGTGAATTTGTACGTCCACTGGGAATTATTAAAGTAATTCTTTTATGGTTGATATTTGACAGTTCTCTTATTTGGTCTGCTTGTAGGCATATATTTCAAGTGAGTTTTCATTCCGAATGAATCTTTATACGAAAAAAGTATCGGCATAGTGTTTTGTCATAAGCATACATACAGATAGGCTTCCTGTTTTCCAATCATTAGATTTTTGTCCGTCCAACGCTTATTTTCCAACTCTTACAACCTTCTGGTGAGTTTGGTGAAGTTTCGGTGTTATCACTGTCTACTGCTTTGTGAACTATACGTCATGGTTTAATTATGGCGTTGACATAACAATAGGATACCAATCCGGTATACATATATAAACACGTTGATAAAAAGAAATAAGAAATCATATACTGCATCACATATGCAAAAGTATCGAATTATCCTAAATTATGTAAAGTAAGCCGTATTTTAGAAAAGCGTCTCATCGGCAATTTTTTCAGTAAACGTTTGGTTAAAACAAACCAACTTCTTTAAGGATGAACAAAATTAAATAATTACAACTAACTTTGTCTAGTCCTGAAAGTCTAAACCATATTAAGCCATCCTCGAATATTTTACGAATTAACTGTTTCTTTATATTTAATTCGTCTTCTTTTGAAAGGTTATTGTTATTTTTAGTAGTAGTATCACCCATCAGCTGTTTGTTACTTTTTATATAGTTTCGGTAGTATAAATGTAAATTTAAGTAGGCTTCAATGGGACTATTACGTTTTCGTAACTCTTGACGCCATAAACCTATAAATGTGAAATAAACACTAAATGCTGACCAAATGCTTAAAAAAGGATTAGGAAGAAACAAAGAATAATAATCTCATCTGGATAAAGTATGAACATACAAAAACGAAATTAATGTGTAGTAAAATATATCGCTTAAAATTCTGAATTAAAATATACAAAACTTATGCTAAATTATATGAAAATAATTATATACGGAACCCCAATTCGACACTGCATGAAAGTTTCCATAAACCGTTATACTGACCAGGGTTGAGGAAAGTCCTCTGAAGTTCTTGGTTATATGTATGGCTCCAAGCTAAATCGAATAAAATGCGGATTGTTTATTATTATCATTATTATTCGAACAGCATTTACAGTGGTACAGACTAAATGTAGGCCTTATGGATTTACGTTAGATGGTTGAAGGAAGATTTCCTTCTGACTGCCTCCAACGCCACAACATAAATATGTGGTGCACGCGATCTCGAGTCACTTGGACTAATGACCACATTCCAACTTAATCAATATAATTTGATTACAACTAATGGACTGGACAAATATGTCATTGATTACTACTCAGAGACCAATCGATGTAGGTTCTGTGTTTCAAATGCTAGCTTGTTTAGAAATTAGTGGATATGTTCATAAGCTATGTAGATCAAAAGCAATAGAAGTAAAATATATATGAGGGACATTATGTCATCTATATTCGACACTGATATCTCACTCTGACTAAATTTTATTTTTTAGCAAAACATTCTCCGCCAAGATAAATCTTTTCAAGTTATCATTGCATTTACTTTAAAACTTGACACATGTATTGATTCGAATCATCTAACCAAACTACTTGTAATAATGAAATGGACAATTGATTAGTCATATGGTAAAAGGCAATTCAGTATTTATTCTACGTTGAAGCTATCAGTTATACTTTGTAAATATTGCATTCTTATACTTGCAATAAAGTGGTCAGTAATAACGTCAGCAAAAGCGATTATGCGAATAATGATGATAGATATATTTGTTTTATTCGTTAAATTACAGATCATAAAATCATTTGCTCGTACAATTCAAAATACTCACATTGTAATTTAAACAACTCCATCATATATCTCGGCCTGATTAATAAACGTGCGACATGAAGTTTTGCCATTACAGAAAACCACTGTTCTTTGGGTACCTTCTGTCTTGATAATTCTGATTCACTATGGCACAAAACATTTTTAAAAATGTAAAAAAAAAACAAATAAACATGGACGAACTGTTAGATAATCATCAAGGTGGTGTTTTAGCCTTTAATGTTCCTTGAAGTTTGTAGACCATAAAATATAACATGGCAGTTATAGAAAATAATAAATAACCATTATATTCTGCGTTAGGTCCTAATTGTCTGAAAATTATGATTGAAAACTATTGTGCCCACAAATATTTATCATCGAACCATATCAACACCGAAAAAATAAACGATGCTTAGAGAAATCAACCCTTATTTTTCAAGTATAATGATTGGTGAGATTTATTAAGTGGGATTTAATACACAAATTCTTTCAAACCGCTACAAATGTATTTAACTGGTCAATTTTAGTGAAGGAAAACTAGATAAAATTTTCTTTTACAAAACGATTATTTTAAAAAAGTAAAACGTTAAATGTTATAGTTAATATGTGATCATAAATATCTGCTTTTTTATCATCCTATACGTATTCTTGGTATTATACTTCTCGATACAAAATTATTTGAGGCGGTTGCCGCGTAGTAGAATTATTGGCTACAAGGAATAAAGAATAGTAACATTTCTAAGTTTAGTATTAATGTACTTAAGATAATTCATTGCTATGGTAAGTAAATGATAGATCAAATAATCCACTAGAAGTTCAGTACCTGATGATGACCTTGTTAGTTTTATTGGAAATTAGTTAAAGGTATCCAGTAAAGAAACTAGTTTAGCATCTCGTCATACACTAATCTTACAAGATCTCGAACACCCAACTAAATACATCATCCCTTCTAAACCGGTTTTGTATTCCTCATCGATCAGATTTTAATGAAATATTTGGAGATATTACATCATTAGCATCTTATTCGTATTTTCGCCAACCAAACAAATGTCATCTTGTTAATACCTTAGTGACTAAACTCTATCAATCAAAGTGCACTACGATGTCGAATAGCTTAACTTTGTGACCTTTCTGAAATTAAATCAAAAGAATTCAACCGTTACTGGGAGCTAGATATCACGTTGGTTACTCCTCGTCTGTAGATTGCAGTGAACATCTGGGTTAACTGATTAATTTCTCAAACTGAACTTATTTAAAAGACATTGAACTTAATTTATAGACTCGATGTCACGTTTTTTTCTCAACACATTAAACTTACATTGCATTAAGTTTACTTAGTCGATCTACTCCAGTGATAAGAATGCGAAGAATATTTCCAGTGTGATGCAAAAACTGTTTTAATGGATTAGGTGGATTATGGTTATCTGAATAACGAATAAATAATATTGCTCCAGGGAAAAAATCAATTTCTGGTAAATACACCTGACCATTCCTTGCTCCCCATACACAGTGATACAATGATCGACGTAGAAATGGTAATGGTTTAGAACTAATGTAAAGTTATGTACAAAACAGTGAGAAAAAAACACTAGTTAATAATAATGACATTCCAGTGGGACAATATAAATTATTTAAGCTTAGAGTAAACCGATAGAGATGACATGAATTCTGTTTTTAGAAGAAATGACTGAAAACGAATGAGACGATAGCGTAGTGTTCAAAAATTTAGACTTTAAGAGGATTGGTAGCAAGTGCGAGCACTTCTTATCTACATCATATAGAACTGTTGGATAGTGCTTACAAGAAACATGTGATTTAAAGCTGAATCCATAAAGCCTGTACCTGATAGCTAAATGACTTTTGCAAAGGAATGCGTTCTTATCGGAATCATGAGATGATCAAAGTTACAAACCATAGAGAATCAAATTTATTTAACATCATGTAGTTATAGACTATTACTTAAGTGTTGAACAGTTTCCGTCATTATTTTCAGTAATTCTTTAGTGCTAGTCTTCATTTAAACTCTACAACCCACTATCAACTGAAAATGTGATCAGATATTCAAAAGACATGTTATTTGTTTGCTAATAAAACCTTTAGTGGAAGTCAAAACTGATTCGTACTGAGTTAGCGCGAATTTCTGTGTACCAGCATAATTACTCATATACCAGACGGAGGTAAACACTAAAAGAAGCAAATACGCTGTTTATTCATTTTTAAAAATCAATTATCACATTATTCTAATTTTATCATTCATTCTTATTTCGTACTTATGTGGTTACCTCATATTTATAGCTCAATTGCTTAAACAGATAAATTTCAAGCTCGCTTCCACACACATTGGCTTAGTATATCAATGATTATTTTTGCTTTATGACAAATGGCGATGGCAATCCATCATTACCTTATTAACGTTTTGGGTACTTATTCAGTTAAAAAGCAAATAATTAGTGTCCTCACAGATGATTCTTTACTCCTAAAAAGTAGGTGTCTGTAAATCACTGATACTCGCTATCCTGACAAAGATTTTGCACATTTTGGGTCACATCCATCGACAATGTATTTTGACTTATTGAAGCTAGAGTGCGCTGTCTATTAAACTTAAAAAAACATGGTCAGTTTTTCAGCAGACTAATGATGCACTGATATAGAACAAACATTGTCAAAATTCACAGTTTGAAATTGAGGATTAAAAAGATGAATCACACACAAATGTTCAGTCTTATTGAAAATCGAAAGGTTCAAATTAATTTTTAATCTATTATGTTAGTGGGATTAACAATACAGATTTACAAGCTATACTATGTACACCACATAAAAATCTCTCCCAATGGATTAAACAAAAGGACACTTTTTTAAATCCTAAATAATAATATTTCAAAGAGATAGCTAACCTAACTCCTATCTTATGATCTTCATATAAGGCCCATGTAGAATCATTTGGAAAGGCTATTCCAATGAATTTACGTAAAGCAAATGAAGATAATGAATTAGTCCAATCCATATCGCTTGTCTGTCTAAATTGTTTTTCATTTGATATATCATCCATATTAAACACAAGGAGACGTGCAGTAAACCAAATTCTATTTTTGAAATTAGTTTGAACATCATTAATAATTTTTAAATGATCTAAATATTGATTGCTTGGTCTGTGCATAGAAGAAAATAAAATAAAGAAAACGAAACGAACTAAAATTTCACTTTTGGATTTAAATGTATTGATAAATGAATGTATATTACACTGACCAGTTCTCACTTATTTTAAGGTTGAGTGAAATATCTCTCCTTTTTAAAAAGACTTAGTGTTTTCTTATGCTCAGTGATTTCAACTGTACTTAATGTATGAGTAGATTTCACTAACAGAAATGACCACATGTAATTACTGTGGGAAAACTGCTGAGAAAGTACTGATATCATCAAATTAAATGGTAAGGACTTTGATTTCCTGAATAACTATGCGAAGCTAACTACAGAATTAGGGTTAAACTTTATGATGTTTTGTAGACTGAAAAATGCATAGATACATAGAACTGATATCAATTTTCTAAACCTGATATTAAGTTCGATAAAAAGAGTATATTCTTCTCGGTAGTGACATGGTACGAAAACGTTTACATAGCATATCTTTTCGACTTAAATCTGAAGTTCATATAACTTTCAAGGCGGTGATTAATTTTACTGATAATAATAATGCAACTTACAAACAATAATCTCACCAGAAAACGTTATATAGAACTTATCAATTGTTAGTTTACTGAGAAAAAATTAAATTAGATTGACTATGAATAGCTAAAAAATGGTTACCTTCAAGTGAAGATTGTTTTCACCATAGACTGACTTCAACTAAAAACCAATGAGCACTAGAAAGCTCTTTAGCTCTAATATGGGACTAACCAGAGGTGTGTAAGCACAACCTTACAGGAGTGTGAACTTGAAACCCTTGGATCATGTGGTACGATACTTGCCGATCACGTCAGGACTGAGACATACCACCGATAGCAAAAGTGCTAATCACACCATATTGTAAACTGATTGAAGTTGGAATGGACACTATTGGATCCTGATACAATACCCAAAAATTAGGCACAAAAGCCGGGTCTTCCGCCAATCGCCTATGACATTTTATCATGTTCATGTTCGTATCTTGTATACAAACATGATATTTTATTACATGAAATTATATTCACTTGGCCAGTGGTTTTGTCTTTGATTGTTATTCATTCGGAGGCTCGAGTTTCTTGTGAACAGCCATCACTTAGCCACATCAAATCACTGGGCCCATCTATAGATTAGCGGTTTTTTCCCCCATAAAAAACCTAATTCAATGACCTCGCATTGACCGTGAGATCATGGGTTCCTAAATCCCATCATGTGTGGAGCCATGGATTCAAAAACCAGAAAGAAACAGCTGCTGCGTAATTTTAGTAAACCATGTATGTAATACACACAGATAGGATCAACACAGAATTTAGAAAAGATGTATGTTGGTCAAAGTGGCCACACTACATTAGCACGACGAGTTGAAAAGAACAGAAAGAATATAGTGTAGTAAAAACGACTGAAGGGAAGAATAAATTTTGGGAACAGTTTGAAAAGACAGACGAAAAAGATATGTAGGAAGAGTTACTGCAACTTAAAATCTTGTTCAACATCTATAATAAAACACGATAGACCCTAACTAACTCTTAATCACTGCGTACGATATAAAGACTTTTCTAAACTAAATATCACTGTTGTCTATCAAACGCTTTGACCACAAACTGAATGTGTAGTTAGCAAATTGAACGATTATTTTTGCGTATTGTTACGACTAACATTCAAATAACGCAGTTACATTGGAAAATTACTTTTGCAAATCCTCAGTCTTATCATACAATCACTTGTACACGAAAGTACTAGTTGATTTCTGGGACAGAAACATTGTAAATCTAAATATATTACTAAGGATATTGCTGTAAAAATTACTTATTTTCGTACATCACTCTAGATTTAAAGATCCTCACCAATAAACGGAGTTAAAAAGCAGCCATAAAGGTTAGTTAATTTTAATTTCATTGCATTTTTCCATGACTCCCAGTTTCATACATTCATCTTGAGTGATAATAACGTTGAATGACTTTTAAAGTTATCCTTTCTCAGATAAATGCTTACTTTTATCAGCATTCACTAAAACTGGTATGACTTAATTCCTATCTTATATGGGTAAAATGAAGTTCCGAAAAATAAAGGTAACTAAGAAACAGAAGAATAAATTAATACCTTGAAAGACCTGGTGCCTGACGGATTGAGTAGTCAATCAACTGCTTAGGTGTAACCATACTACTGAAACTACGTGATGTTTGATTTCTTGGAGTGGTATTCTACGACTGAGTTATCAAAAAATGTAATGTCGTCTACCTCGCATTCAGGGGCTTTACAAGCTGATTCTTTTCGCCACAGTTTTTCGAGATCGGAACACATGCGCTGAGTAATATCGCCACATGACGAAGATAAATCTTCATCGTTATCCTTTCTTGAATGTCTTAAATACTAAATAACCACCTACCTCAGAAGTGCGTACTACTTCTCTGCTTTCCGTGTTGTTGAAAGACGTCTGAAATGTAAACAACCGAAATGATATCTTACTAATGGCAGATGTGTTGCCCAAGGTGGATATACAGCTGGACGTATAGACAAATTACGACTTGAGTTTTCCGACGATTCTGTTCCCCAGCTAATTGTTGAATCTGAGCGGGCGGAATATTCCCCTCCTTTGGCAACAGTATACAATGGTTCATCCTCAGAGCTCGGACAATTATCTAAGCACAAACTTGGAACACTTTGGCGATAGCCAATTTCTACAACATACCTGGTGCTAGCTGTTTCTCCTTCTCTCATAGTGTAATTTAACACCTGACACCAAAATTAAGAAAAATTATACCTATTACAAAGTTCTCACTAGATTAGAAATCCTAAGGAATTTAACACTGCTTTATGTAAACTGAATAAAACGTTCTTGAAAACTAATTCAAGTCAATTCTTAGTAAATACATGAAACAATACAATTAAAGTAAAATTCGTTACTCTACATTGAGATATTAAAAACCAAAAATACATATACCAGTGGTTATTGTAAGACAAGCACAAAACCTCTCGACTAACTTACAAGCCTAACTTCTTAGATATGGGAAATAGGATCAGATGAAAAGCGTGTTACGATTATTTTAAGACAGCCATCATAAACGGTTGTAATGGTTGTAGAGATCTTAAGTTGCTCTTCAAGTTCACTACTTGACATTGTCCGGAATGAATATCAACAAAAAATATACGTGGGTTAATTTTCCATACTTAATTTCTCGATGGTGTCAAATTGCACACCACAGAATGAATTTCAGTAACTAAAAAACCGAAATTATATTTCCACGTTTGTAAATCCTCTGACAAAACCGCTCAATCTACTAATTTCAACTAAATGCTTTTAGCCCCGCCAACTATTCCAAGTGGTTTCACTTTTCTTTTTCACTGGCATGTGCGCTGGATGAAAATGAAAACTTGAATGAATAATTTATGCCACAAAGTTTCAGAATGTCGACCTTTCATATGAAATTAATCTAAATGCACCAAAAAGCATAACGTCGAGTCAATGCTTATCTTTGTTTTGTACTCAATCAACTGGTTCCTAACAGACCATCTGGCTAACTCTATGGTACTCATCAACACGAATACTATAATCGATTAGACCCCTGACTGACACAAACTAGGTAGCTTTACTAGTAATATCTGTTTGTGCGAAATGTTATGAGTCTCACTTCAGAATGTAAAGACTGATTGGATAAATCATGTTGCGTGCTGCTCATAATTACTGTCATCAATTATAAAAGAATCTATTTCTCCGTAAGACTGAAACAAATAAACTTCAAACTATTTCAAAAATGATCATGAAGATTGACTAAATCTTTAATTTAATTCCCTTGAAATAAAAGGGTGTTCAGTCTAAAATTTCCAACCCAAAAGTACTATTTTTAAGCCCAAAAGGTCCGAATCGGTACAATGACTCGATGCTCAACATTAATTGACTTTCTTTTACACAGGTTGATAGCCAGATAGGCTGCACCTTGTGTTGGTTAGATAGCTTTAAATATATAAAGATGCTGCCTTCGTAGTAATATAGCGACTGTAATAACCGGGCGTATTTTATTAAAGGAGTGAAAAGATACCAACTTTACCCCGATCTATAAAAAGCAATCCATACGGTGTCAACCTATGAGCCGATTTCCAGAAAAATTGATTGAAAGCATCATAATTAGAAACACATCCCCTTTAGATTGCTCATAGCGCGTTTCAAAAGGTTGCCTACTAACTGCTGAGAAAGAGAAGACAAGAAACAAAGAAATACAAACCGGTCATAATGAACCGTATCTGGAAAAGCATTGCGTTGGCCTTCAGTTCCGGAACACTATGATAGTTAAGAAGTATTATGAAATTGGACAAGAGCACGTACACTCTTATTTACATAAACAGTGTAGTCGAAATAAAAATGCAGTAGAATACTGTAAATTCATTTCTGAGAACCGACTCAAATCTGCTATAAACAGTCCAAATAGCCTTCACGTAAGATTCTAGAGATGCATAGGTTAACTTAGGACACAATCTGAACATGAGAAATAGTGGAGGATGACTTTGAACATGACACATTCCCTTTTTTATTCTAATCAGGTTAGAATAACCCAGAAGATACAGTGGCTATGCTTACTAGCAAGCAATAAATCTAATCTCAGTAAAGTACAGGTATGTGGCCAAGTCACAGACACCTGAAACATGATACCAGAAAAAGTATCGTTGTTGATTCATTGTAAAGATTAGACATGGACAGTAGTTTATCAGGAAAAGACTAATATTATCACTCAGCCCCTTGTTTTTAGTCGAAAAAAGTGCAGCCTAAATGATGCGTTGATGAATTTGATCTTTAAGAATGCCCTTCAATTCATAAAACAAATATCACTTGGCTACTTTAATTAATATATAAGTCAAGGTTTTTAAAAATTGTCACAACCAGTCTGAGTATCGATGAATATAACTAATTGCCACTTGTTGTTATCGATACACTGACACAAATTTTATCCTGACATATTACCTATTATACCTCAAGAATTTATTAATGACTTAATAAAGCAACATTTACTTGCCATTATTTACTCCATTTGGATCAAACGACGATGTTAATGCTGAACTGCAGATATGCAACAAGAAGTGCAACGAATGTATGGAAAAAAATAGATTTCGGTGATACACCAACCTAGTGAATAATAATGTGACTCACTTTTCATGAATTATTTAATAAATACAAGAAGTGGATAGGCAAACATTTACTACCATGCACACGTGTATAAAAACGACCAGAGTAACATGTTCGTAATCTTTGATATGTAAGTAACGAGTTGATTAAAAACATTAGAATAATTCATTCGCCCAAATGTAAAAATAAATCACGCAGACAATTTATAATAATAATACTATTAGTTTTTTAAAGTAACCAGAGTCAGTTAGAAACAGTATATAGTTAAGTTCACCCCATCCAATCCATCGTTCCTCTACTGCATCCCTGACAGATTTTTAAGGCAACCTAAAAGTGTTACATTTGGTGGAAGTTTAACAGCTATGTATACTACAGCTACATATACTCAGCCTTACAGAAACAATTTAACCCCAACTATACGAATTCATAGGAAAACTGTTAATAATTCATTAAAGACGGTTCCCATAGTCACAGCAAGTCTGAAAGGTCGATTTTATCGAAGTCACATGTGGACGCATAAACATAACGTGCGTATGCACTGAAGAACTGGAATAAGATAAAGATCCAGTGCCTTATTTTCATTAATGTTCAGAGTGAGGTAGATTTGAGTCAAACCTAAAGTTAAGTTTTGTGATGGAGTAGTGTGGAGAGCACAATGAGTAAGACGATCTGGAACCGAAGACAACTGAATGGAATGTAAGTCAATTACAAAAACAAAACGTGCAATTCAATTGCATTTATGGTGTAAGAGAATGATAAAATTCAGAAATAGCACAGCAGTTAGACTAAGAAACCTGGGAATCGAAACAAGATGTAAAGGAGAATTTCGAATGTGTAACATTCACAACGTGAAAGGAACTCTAAGTTACTATGGTATCCAGTGTATGGTAAACATATAACCAAGTCTTGACATTATAATCAAAGTGTCTGTTTTGTTCTTATTATATTTTGAAGTATAATATCAATTTGTCCGCAGAATGGTTTTGTTTGTATGAGTCGACAATAATTTGTATTGTCATAGCAACGATCCTAGTTTTTAAAAGCAGTCATTTAAGCAAAATACAGTTCGTATTTTCATTATATAATTTATTCCTTAAACTATCTACATACAACCATGTCTGAACTTGCATTAGATGACAAAAGGGCAGAGTTTATTGCTGAGTATATTCTGACGTCACATAAACTTAAAAATGATAAGTGGATGAAATTGTGGAATACCGATGATATTAAACAAAAAATCACCAATTTCTTTGAAAAACCTGATGTCACACAACTTTTCATTCTTTTGATGCCGAGTGGCTTTTTGACGGCCGAAAATGATTTTCCTGTTGGGTCCAAGTCCAAAGCTAGCTTTTTTATGAAGAAGTCAAAAGAGGCTATTCCTAAAGATGGGGTCATAACGAAATATATCTTCTACGGTGATCTTTCATACAGTCCTTTAGATCATTTTTCGGTGTTCGTTGACGAAGTAAATAAACTATCTTAACTGTCCATATCTTTTAGGTGCTTGTCCCTGTTTTGTCTAACAAGAAAAACTACAGTTCTTGGCCATCTGTTGTTTATGAGGATGTCATAAAATATGCACACGGTCTGAAAAGACAAACGGATATTGTCGTTGGGCAGGCAAAAGGAAAAACATTTTTACCTCTACCGATTGAACAAGAGCGGTTAAAGGAGCATGTTAAAGAAGGGTAGATATTTGTTCATTAAATCTCATTTTTATCTGCATGTAAAAACATAATCTCAGCGCTTTGGCCGTTAAATCCTTTCTTAAGCGATGAGATCAGTAGTAGCGCAGTACTTATTTATTGTACGGTATATCGCTCACTTAATTTTCATTTATGTATCCTTACCTTTTTCCATATCCATTAAGTTCCAAATTTTTTAGGGCTGAATAATCTTTGAGTCGATATTGGTAGTTGACAGCAATTTATGGATTAATATTACGTTCCACTTACAGTTGTAATCTGATACGCACCACAAATTTAGTTTTTTTATTCAGATATATCACGAAAGCCTCTTAGACGGTTTTGTGCTTTTGTTTTCGTGTTCTTTCATCGCGTATAAAATATTTCATTCATAACGCAGAGCGAATTCGGCATGTGTTGTATGATTAGCGATTAAACATTACTACAAAGGTGTCATGTTATTCCAAACCAATGAACCTATTAGTAAGGTTTGTGATATTATACATATTATACCTAGAATCATATCAAATTTTTAACTATCTGTAGTGGTTAACTATAAATTTCACAACATTTGTCGGATTGTTTAAGGCATCAGATTCCTTACCGATGCGTACAAGACTTTAAAGTTATTAGGTACCGACCAAATGTGATTTGACACTAACTGACTTACAGTGAAGATGTTATAATCTATCATTTATCACTGTTGTTGAAAAATACATGTATATCTACCGATTTACACTGATTGTTCTGTGTTTTTTACTTCATTTTTATCCCTATTTTCTGTATTATTGCAGCTTGATTTTGTTCACTCCTGGAGAAGATATTTTGTTTTATGTATCTGTCTGTCAACTTTCACTTTTAACCAGAAGTATCTTACATCAACTAGACTAGATGTTAACTTAAATACTTTAATAAATGCCTTCACTGCCATGCTAGTTGTTACTGTTTGTGTATTTTGACTAGTATTTATCGTTTTTCCTCATTTGCCAAAGTAAGTCATGAAGTGAGCTCAGTAGTTTGCTCTTTTTCTCTTGTGTAAAACAGTAAGTAAATGGCCAGTGGGACCTGGAGATTCGCAAACAGTTTCAAATTCTACACGAGTAGATCACACAAAAAGTCTGTTTAATTTCTGCCGATGCACGTCAGCTGTGATGCATGAGAGATGTTTGTCTCATCTTCAGAGAGCAAACATACTCTGAAGGAGTCTTGTCCTTATTAGTTAGTCTCTGTGTAATATGGATTATACAGGTAGAAGACGTATGGACTTTGTAAGTATCTAATCATAGATACGTTCTAAGTTTTTGCACTAGTTGTGAAGCTTAATGAACAGAGTCAATCGTAGCACATGTGATAGAACTTAGTGCAGATCGAATCCTGCCTGTCAAGAAGGACCTGATATACATGAAATTGACTACTACCTAGTGACTAATCAAACCTCAGTCCTACAGAGGTCAGTCACGACCCAGATAGCTCAGTTGTAACGTCTCTGACTGTTAAACAAGATTATATGAGGTCGAATCCGTCAGGAGCATCAGTTCCTTCAAAATTACAGGTACACCTCGTTAGTGTGTACCAAATAGTACGAAACCTAGGCGTAGGGTATCGACTAACTCCAGCCACCAACTTACATTAGAACTAGTTAGATTCTTCTCATTATTCCAAGTAAACTAATCTATTGGTTCAAATCAAACGAATTATCGCCCTCCAATACTTGACATTTAATGGTCAACCAAACAGACAAAAGTAGACAAAATTATCACTCTTTTAATTAGGCCTTAAATTCTCCTTTATTACCTTATCCTTGAACTAATCAAGTAAAATTACTAAAATATGTTGTATTTGCTTTGACATTTTATGCGAAGCTCGACATTCATATTCTTTCTAACTTAAAAACCAGTCACGAGTTGCATACAAGTTTGTCGTTCGTTTTCATAATTAATACTCATTAACAAGTATTGGGATTCTATTTTGTGACCCCTCCCTTACGAAATAAACTGAGGTGTAAATGACAAAAAAACATTTGTAGCGTCTTCATTGGTTAACAAAGTAAAGGAATGAAGTTATAACGCTTCACTTAACCAATCAACTATTGATATATTTTATTGCTAAAGTACTTAAAAATAAGCTTAATTCCGATTGGTCAGTTGGAGAAGAACATGAAGAAGGACATAATGAGCTACTTCATGATAACGTGGATGGGAAACTTATGACGAATTATATTCCAGAATATTTAAATAATAGTTACAATCTCTTCATATGCTACATTCATATCTAACTGATGTAGGTACTCGTAACCCATCGATTACCTCTAAACTATGGCCTTCATATAATCTAGAAACTGCTAGTACTGTAAATTTTCATAGCGCTCCCGACAATAATAGTAATACTTTAAGAATAATTAATCCAGAAGGTTTTCCAATGAATCGTGCAAGATTTCTGACTACATATGAAGAATCACAGAATAATTTAGAAACTTATTTAACAGACAGTAGTAGTGATAATAATGGTACGTATATTAGACCATTTGACCTGTGCTCTCGTTCAATCCCGATCTATTTTCCTACATTCAATAATTATCAGTCATCCGAGAATATAGAACTTGAAACAAATCCAGCGAGTGCAAAGCCTATCAACCAATTTCCAGACTATTCTCACATACTAATAAACAAACATGTCCATGGTACTGCTACTAATAATGCTAGCAATGATTGTGATTGTAATAAAGTGGATGAAATACAGAATTCACAAATAAAATCTAGTTTTTTTGATGCGGGATTAAATTTAACTACAAATGGCTATCAACAACAAGGATTAAATAAATCGATAACTGAAAGTATTTCTTATCTTAAACAAAATAACAGCGATATTCTTAATACAAATGCTAAATGTGAATCAGAAACACCAACTGCTAGTTTAAAATATCCTTTATGTGTTCCACATCCATCAGAATTACCAATAGAACAATTTAACTCTTTTAAAAAATTCACTGAAATGACAATAAAATCAACGGAATCAAACCAGTCGTTAACAACAAATCTTCCAAGCTATCGACTTCAAGGATATCCTATTCATCAAGCAAGAAATGATTTTTTGAATCCCTATACAAACAACTTTAATTTATCGAATCCAACGTCAAATCATACGTTATTTAATGATATATCCTCTTTCATTTATGATAATCAGTTATATAATTCGTCCTTAAACCATACACTTCCTTATCAACACAATTTGCACTTACAACATCAGTTACAACAAGAGAATGCTCCAAGAGAACAAAGTCATCAGAAGCAAACTAAACGAAATGATCCAAATAAGTTTTCAATAACTACAAATCAGTCAGAAGGAAATGTTCAAGACAGTTCGGTAAAACCACCATACTCATATATCGCGTTGATAGCAATGGCCATTTCATCCCAATATGATGGGAAAGCAACACTAAATGGAATTTATCGTTATATCATGGATAAGTAAGTTGACTTGTTTTATAAATTGTGACATAAAACTTCATTCATCTCTTATTCTATGGTGACAATTCTTTTGTATTTATTTGATAAATATTCCACAGGATTAAAGATTTATAGGGACTTTTCCATGTAAATATATTTTTACATTATGAACTGACTTTACTATAGTTTACTGGACAACTGTTTTCATTTATTTCGAGATACCTTATTAGTGTGTACCAACTGCCACCTCAAAGCTCGAATCCAGAACTTTGAAATTCGTAGGTAGTGAGTTATCACACAATGCTTTACACTTCCAGCTTCAATCACTTCATGATATTGCCTTACTTCCAGTATGGTTTAACTGTTGGTGAGAGATTCACAGTAAAATTTAGCTAGTTCATCTATAAGCCAATCATCAGAGAGTAGTGATTTTTGATCAGCATGAAATTTTTATTCATCTTCAAAACTTTTACAAATTAAATAAAGTAAATTTTAAAACGTTCATCAGTGTGTCACTTATAAGTTTCGGGGAGATTATTTCAAGTGATTTACAGACTAATGATGGCCTTTATTAAAGACTGACTAATTGAAGACCAGAGAGAACATGATGTGTTTGTTATTCCTCATTAATGGATCCTGACTGAAATGAAATCCAAGAATTTAGGTCTCATGACAAATACAGTTCTGTTCATTTTTCATGTTTATCAGCCACTGTTCATAACTTCAAATTGAAAT